AACCTACGCCTCGTGCGCTATGGGTCATGCATGTAAAAAATACTCCATCCCATAATGGTTGTCCGTACTGAATAACAAAAAAAAAAACACGTGCTATGCTACTATCCATTAGTGCAAGACCGATGCTCACGCCGACCTGAGTATTGGATGAATCTGAGATGAACTGAGTTGTTAAATCTGCGACCACACAGTTGGTTCCGGATGCTAGTAATCGGCTAACTTCGTGTCGACGATAGTCGACCTGATCCTATCTTCAGTTTCGGACTATAGACTCTGATAATAAGTGAAGACATTATTAGCCCATTAATGTATTAAGTTTTTCTACATCTTAAAAAGATGAATCTGCTATTGTTTTTCTATTCGTACACGAGATTTATGGCTTTAAGGTAACCAAATATTAATAAACCGTTCATTTTTAGCCACAAGTATTCATCTTTTACTCACTTCTTGTGGTTATAAGGCAGTTGCGTACTCTCCCATTATACATGATAAAATTATATGCTTAGTTTAGCTCCGCCTTCGTGCATAAGAAAAGAATCTCCTTTAGTGCACGTACCTATGCATTGGGTCTTTGTCGCGTCAGTTTATAATATTTTTGAGGGGCGTGTGGGGGTCCAAAGGCACTAAGAAGCAATTAGCCGTAACGGAATATCAGGACAAATCCCAGATTAGTCATTGCTTACCGATAATCAGTATGGGTTCAGTTTGTACACTAACAAATCCACAATGCTCGACAAACCCGATGAATCTGGATAACCTATTGTAATCACGATTGATCTAGAAACGCTATGATAATCAAGACGGATATAGATTCCCAACGATAATTATGCTGGATCTAGATACCCTATGATAATCATGATGGATCGGGCTTCTCTTAAGATGATCACGATCACAATAATCACGATGTATGTAAATAACCTACGATAACCACGATGGATCTAGATTCCGCACGATACTCTCGATGGATATAGATACGCTATGATAATCACGATGGACAAATATACGCTTTAGTAATTGGTGTTGATACTGTATGATAATTACGATAGTTGTAGATTTCCCTTAAGATAAACAGGATGAATCTGGATTTCCTTAAGATAAACACAATGGATCAAGATTGCCACCCCATACCCCGATTATCCCGAGATTAGCAGTTTTTAATCATGATGGATCTATATATTTTAGACTATTGTTTGATTTACTACAAATACACAAAGATAATGAAAATAAGAAGTAAAACTCCATTTATTTTAGATGGGGCAATAATTTGAAACTTCTTGAGAACCGCCTATCTAGATTAGAGAACAAGGACAAAGTATGCGGATTATATCTTTGCCATGTGTTTTTTGCCATTCCATTACCTCTGACGTATGGCAAATAGTGATCACTAGTGTCGGCACTAGTATATGCATTTATTTATTTACACTTAGTAACTTAATAAACTGTCTAAATTGAGTTATACGTAGACGTACGTATTATAAGTTCAAATTCTCTTTTATGTTTTCAGGGAGGGGAGCTGCGAATGCAAGAACAGCAGAAGGCCTTACAAAGGGCTGAAAGACATTGTGATGAAAAAATGCTCCAAGACCCTTTCAATTTAACTGGTAAGTGATTGATTTTAGTAATATCGAAAAGTTTCTATAGTTCGCCACGCTGCGTTTAGCAACAAGCTGAATGCAGAGAAAAGCTTCATTGTAAAGCAATGAATGTTTAAGAATTCTTCGTGTGACCAACAAGGCTTTTCAGTGACCTAGAACATACGTTTTTTTACAAGTTCGTCGGGTCATGGAAGGCAAATGGAGTCAACCCAAGAAAATATATGATACGAAACATGTTTTATCCACAGAGTTATATTAAATGATATGAATGTCCAAAAAAGTCTATATAACTCTAACACACAAGACTGAGTGTAGAAAAGTTAAAGCCATATATCAACCTTTTTTTAGGGAAAGAAATGGTGACTGCCACCGCATACTTGTTGAGAAATAATTAAAAGCTTAATATAGTATTAGAACTTGTTGTAAAACTTAGAACATGGGATACTGGCGACCACTGGCGTTTCCCACACATTAAACAAGAAACATCGTCATATGTTTTACATTTTCCCCCACCCATTTTAGGTAAATCAACGGTAACATATCGCCGTCACACCATTTCGCCCATCATCTCAAACTCCAGTAAATTGTATCCATAGCAGATAATCTCGAAGACAAATCGTCCCAGCGCCAATTCGCCTCAATATAATTCATGGGAAATATACTGAGAATTGAACAATATATCGATCCCTATATTATGATATTGAGCTGCAGGATGTGAACATTAAAAGATACCCGGCTGTGGATTTCGAAAGGAAGAAGGCTAATGTCTTAATGTCTCCCTAAGTGGTAAAACTCTCGTCCATTATATTTTCAGGTGTGTTTTGTCCCAGACAATTTGACGATATTTTATGTTGGCCGGATTCCGAGGCGGGTCAGATCCATGAACAACACTGTCCGTCTTATATAAACAGATTTGACATTTCAAGTACGTATCACATTAATGCTATTTCAACGGTATGTTTCGCTCCAAATATCCGATTAGAATGGGGTTTCAAGCCACATGAAATCATCACATTTTCTCTATGTATACTAATGTTTGGAATTGCACATTTTGATTTGAAATTTAGAATTTCAATTAGGTTTCTTATATTAAAGAGATGTTTCAACTGGATATTTAGTTTGAGATTGAAGGCTTCGAGTGCGTCACATTTATTATAATCCAGAGGGAAATTGCTTTCTAAAAATTGTAAACATAATTCTAGCGAACTACCTGCGATATCTTAGTCTCAACAAGAACAAAATCCCAGCATTAAAATTGGATTCTTTGGCGACCAAAGATATTTGTCAAAAGAAAACATTGTGTGGCAATTCTTCGTGGCTATCCAATGAGTAGTGAGGACATGCGATTAGTACGTATCCTTTTACATGCATACGAACAAGACGCCGAATTTTCAGCCTGAAAAGTGATACGCTTAACTGAAATTGAATTTGCAAATTGAAAAGAAAATATATAGGCTATATAGACTATATTCCTTAAATAACAGCATTCATGTGGAACAAGGAATAGGTACATTACTCCACTCTCCTCTTTCACTCTACTGTGAAATTAAGACTAAAACATCCCTTTAAGAAAGTAATTATAAAAATCCTATTAAAAGAAAATCACAGGCTAATAAATATTGTTATTGTTTAGCCTCATAAATTCTTGACTTGTAACATAGCGTAGAGATTTGACGGGAACATATTTCACGTGATCTTGAGAATGTGTTTTCTGTGATACCTATAATATTATTATAATCAGGTTGATAAATCTTCCCCTGGGTACGATAACAAACAGCGTGTACGATGGTCGAGGGAAGGAAGGGGGTGTTGGGCCTTTGGGGCGCTGAAAAAACTTTTTTGCAACATGGCGCAAGACGTGTAGTAATCTTATTTTGGAGGGGTGGGGGAGTAGGGGACGGGCACATGTTGACGTTCAATGATAATTTGTATGAACTTTTGACATTCAATGAAAATGAAATAGTTTTGACATTCTAAAGGCATTTGTATGTTTTCACGTTCATATCGTTTACGTGGAAATTGAAAATGACGTTAACGTGGAAAGTGAACATGACGGTCACGTGGACATTGAACATGACAAAATTTGGAAATTGAACATAACGGTCACGTGGACATTGAACATGACATAACATGGAAATTAATCATGACGTTAACATGGAACTTAAACATACAAATTTAACGACACGTTTGCTATATATATATTTACAGAGTTCGCGTATAAAAAATGTTTAGAGAATGGAAGCTGGTATATTAGTCCAAAAACGAACAAAACTTGGACAGATTACTCCCACTGTATAATACAACCTAAAAAAGTCTCGCCACTTCTACAGGTTAGTTAGGGGGTACGATTAGAATTATTTTCGTCTTCATTATAGTTTATACCACAGTCGTATGGCGTTATTTTTTAACCAATCAAATTGTGTCATGTGGGGACCTGTTTCTGATAAATTGTAGATTACTGTATAAGGCGAAAGTAGATTTTGGCTATTCCACGGAATTGTAATCTTATTTCACTTAGATTGACACCCCTCCCCTCAAATAATTTTTCTACATTATGTCCTTGGCAAAATGATAAATGAGAGAAGTAAGAGGTATTGCCAAGAACGTTAAGGTTGAATAGCCGCTTTCATATTTTATCTCGAAGTGAAACGATCTTTGATGTGCGCTTCCTATAATTATTGTATTGGATTTCACTACCGAGGCAGGTCATGCTTACTTCTCGAACACCAGATGCCAATCTCCACCCGGTTTGTTAACTTCAACAACGGTTTAAAAATTAAAATCTACTGCAATATTTGTTATGGAAGGAAAACTAGCAATAGGTAAAGATATCTAAAGATAGCAATAGAATAGGGATATTTAACATGATTTTGCATGTCACTGTCGCAGTTTCTGCCTGCCAGTTATGCAGGTTTGAGAGACTGTCTCTTGAGAACACAGATTCGGCTTCACAAAAAATGTTAATTATGTAAATATTTTATCGAACAGAGCATTTGATTGGGTGGATGTTGTATAACGTAGAACACAATTTCGTCAAATGATGTATGACAAGCGAAGTCATCCACGGAAGAAACACACTTCGGCCCCTCCACCTAATTATTCTTTAAAACGCTACTGAGAGCCACGATATCTTTTACTTCGTGTAAATACTTAACAAGGTGTCCTATATGATTCGCAAGTTTAAGATTCTCTCAGTGGCGTTTCTGGCAAACATTAGTTGAGGGGACCGAGCAGAGGTCAAAACATTTTCTTTTCCAGGGGTGGGGGGGGGGGGGAAGAGGGGGGGCACAGAAAAAACGCTCATGCATTGCATCAACTCTCATGATTCGCCCAATAAGGTGTAAAGGAATATAACATGAACCTCCATTCGTTTCATTTCATTTTTTATTGCAGGAAAACATACCGCGAGTAAAGGTACTCTATATTATCGGTTACTCGCTCTCCCTGGCCACTCTGATTTTAGCAGTTTTTATTATGCTGTATTTTAGGCAAGTATTTCAATGTCACACAGAAGTGGTCAATAAAAACCCGTGGAAACCAGGGGCGTGTTGCATCGGGATAATTCTATCGTTCCAATCATTTGATTGATCACTGAAGTTAATAATAGATTGAGCTTTATGCTTTAATTCTTGTTTTTGTTTTCCACATAGACCAATATCGAATGTTTTCTTCCATTTTGCAGAAGGTTACGATGTCCACGAAATCTGATCCACGTGAACTTGTTCCTAGTATATTTGTTCCGTGCCTTCATATCGTTGTTAAAAGAGATTTTATTGGTCGGTGATATCGGATTCCCCAATGACGTCATACAGAGAGAAGATGGCGCCTATGAATTCTCCACTGGCCTTGTAAGTGTATGCTTAAGCATTTATTTTAAACGTAATATCGTAAAATTTCTACTGGCGTTCTGCAGCACAGATTCGGCTTAACAAAGAATGTAAATTATGTAAATATTTTATCGAACAGAGCATTTGATTGGATGGATGTTGTATAACGTAGAACACGATTTCGTCAAATGATGTATGACAAGCGGACTCATCCACGGAAGAAACACATTTCAAATACTTCAGCTTTTCAATCAGACTGGACCGGTCCATAGAGCCACCAGTGTCATATCTTAAGAGGGGTGAATGGCCGCCAGAAATGAGGTTTGCCCAAATTCGACCCTACCCAATTTTTTATCAGTTATTTCTTAAACATAGTGTTGTGAGTTCTCGTACTTGGCCCCTCCACCTAATGATTCTTTAAAACGCTACTGAGAGCGACGATGTCTTTTACTTCGTGTAAATACTTAACAAATTGTCATTGTTTTTAAAATTGTGATTTCTATCCAATTTTCAGCATGTGGGATGTAAAACGTTTTTTACTATGTTGAATTATATGATATTAACCAGTATTATATGGATATTTATAGAAGGCCTGTATCTACAGTTATTACTGAGTCTATCTGTTCACATTAAAAAACTAAAATTACGATGGTTCATTCTTCTAGGATGGGGTGAGTTATATCCCCTTTCTTCAGTCGTCCCTCGCGTCTAATGTCTGATCAAATTATGAAACAGATGTTTCTGCTTCTGATCGGGATGATGAAAATGGGCCTCTCCATGCAGTGTGTAATGAGGAAATACATCTTGCCGGTACTTTCAATTTTTTTATGAAATGCAATTGCTGCAGGATGTTCAGAGCATACAACATCCGTTTATTCCCAAATCCGAACAACGTGTCAGCCCCTCTGACCTACATCACTGATAGTTTAGGAAGATGTAGAGGGTAAATCGTTATTCCTTACGGGTGGGCGTACAAGTTTGACTATATTTCAAAAGTTTATTTTATACAGAGACGGATGTTTGTTTCATTATCATAAGTGCTTATTGATTGATTATTAAGTGTAAAGTATTGAGGAAAATCAATATTTTCAGGTCTGCCTGTGATATTTGCGGTAGCTTGGGGCGTGGCCAGATATTATTATGACGATTCTTAGTAAGTATTGAATAACTTTAAATGGATAGATTCGTAATTTACGGGGGTTAATTTGTGTGTTAAATATATGTAAATAGTCTTCAGAACTACTATAGAATCGCATCAATCCTTCAAATAACCCTCAAACTTTCATTTTTCTATTTCTACATATTATGTGTTTTCTAAATATATGGCAGAGTCTCAAAAAAGAGAAGAGTCGTCATTTTAACTTTCAAACGCGGGACATTAAAGGATTTGAAGGCTCAAATCTCGACGGTTAGGATAGCAAAAAAAAAAAAAAAAAAAAAAAAAAAAAAAATCGTTTCTGAGACTAAGAAGACTAAGGTGCTTACTTAAATCTGTCCCTTTAATTCCATCTATTGTACATCGGGTCAAAGCTACGTAGGTAACACCCAAGACACCTCTATACGTAATACCCCATCTCACTAGCAGCACCCAACACACCCAACGAAATATATTGATTCAGGAGGTCCATTTTAGCCACTACTTGAACCTATTGAAATATTGCTCACAATTTATTTTCAAAAAGGCATACCCTTTAATTTACTACTTATTTTCTAACCCACACGTATCACGGTTGAATTTATCAAATTTTCAGTTGTTGGAATGTTGCACACTATCAGAAAAATCTGTACTGGATAATTCGAGGCCCTATCGTTATAGCAGTAATAGTAAGTACTCAATTTTCAAGAAAATCCCATCTTTGGACATAATCTTCTTTACAATATCAAGCTAATACGAACTTCGTCTTATAACTTGGCTGACTATATCCCCTTAACTATCTTTATTTAATTAGACCTGATGTTTCATCTATTACTATTATTATTTGTTTTTTTTTTTATTTAAGATGACGTTTTTGATATTTGTAAACATTTTGAGGTTATTGTTTACGAAATTAACAGCCGTCAACTGCCCTAGTAGTCGAAGATACAGATATAGGTAATGATTCATCATATATCTCCCAAAGGGTCGATAAATATATATCACATTCATCAAGTTATGGCACGACGTTTAATACCTGTGGGGCTGCTATCAAAATATATTTTTGGCGGAAATCACAAATAATTTGGGTATTTTTTGAAGTATTATATTCTTAGATATGCTCTAGGATAAGCCAGGTACGTTTCGTTTCGATCCCACGACAATCATCATCACAAAGGGTTTGATGTGTCTAATTATTTCGGACGTGACAATAAACAGGGGTCAAGTATGCTACAAGCTGTGCGCGTTTAAGATCCCTCTACAATATTGGGAATCGAAAAAGAGTATGTCCTGGAAAAATTCCCTTAATTGCACACTGCATGCTATGGTGTTGAATGTCTAATTAGCCTATGAGATGCAGAAACTAAGGACGTAAAACTAATTTTCATATTAATTTTCAGGCGCTTAGCGAAATCGACAATAATTTTGGTTCCATTATTTGCTGTGTATTATATGGGTTTTATTTGGTTACCGGACGATCTAGATCCTCTTTCACAGCTAATAGAACTTTATATAGAGATGTTGTTCAACTCATTTCAGGTATAGAGTTTTTCATTCGTTTATTTATTCAGTCATTTATTTTTTATTTATTCATTATTCAAAAATCTTTATGCAATACGATTGTCAAATTAAATAATGGATTAGATAGAGAATGTATTGGGATATGACTGTGAGCGTCATTGAAGTTTCCTCCCCTTATTATTAACTTTTCATTATTACCATTTTATTGTTTTTCAGGGTTTCCTTGTTGCCTTATTATTCTGTTTCTTAAACGCCGAGGTAATTTTTATTTTTCAAAATTCGAGATTTCACAACTTAAAGGCATCTTGTTTTTTAGAAACATCGAAGGATAGTATTTATAACGGCATAAACCGTCTAAAATGTCCAAAGTCATGATAAAGAGTGAAAGCCAGAGGTCCATGAAATCTTAGTTTCGAATTCTTATCCTTGATCCAAAAGCTAAAATTTGTCACTTTGCAATTTTATTTATTCGTTTCATTTTTTGAATTTATTTTTTTTAGGTACAAAATGAGATTAAAAAGAAATGGTACCGTCATGTTCTGAAACGATCTGGAAGCATTGGGAACCAGAGACTTTCCAGGCGGTACCGGTACTCGGACGCCGATTCCATTGCTAGCTCAAATTACCAACAACCGACGAAAAAGAAGAAAAACAAATTTTTGGAAAGAGTGAAAGAGGAGAATGCCCTTTTAAACAAACGTTATGAAAACGGTCTACAAGACCACAATGACAATATCCATCCCGATTTTCATTCAGATTTTCATAGTGACATCTTTACCTCAGATTGTGTTCATAGTGATTTCCACACTGATCTTCATAGTGACAATAGTGCAAGTGATCATCAGTATGACTCAAAAGAGACTCACGGTGACTTCAGATGCAAGAATGACTCCGATGTTAAACATGACGACAAAGTTGTGAACAGTGACTCAAATGTTATTCCTAGTGACTCAAATGTTGTTCCCTGTGACGTTAACCCTCCAAGATACACCGATGTTGTTCACGATAGCTATGACTCCAATGTAGTCCCTAGTTTCTCAAATATTGTTCAGAGTGACTACAATTCTGTTTATAGTGACTCAAGCAATGCAGCTTACTCAAATAAAGTGAATGGAGATAATTTCTATAAAAACGCTTTAAATAATGACCAAATCACTCCACAAGGTGACCAAAGTGAAACACGTACTGACTCCCAAGGTTTTCTGAACTCAGATGTCGGGCAAAAACTCTCATGACATCAAATTCAAGACCACAATTTCATGTCAGTGGGCTTCATCTTAAACACAATCTGTGTTCATAGTGACTGTGACACTAGTGTATTAAATAGGGATCCGGAGTTTTAGGATTAACCATCTTCAAAAGCGACCAAAGAGACTAAAAAATCACTGCTTTAATTTTTTACCAAACCAGTGATGGTTTACAAGGATAAACAAAGATAAAATGATAGCGGGGTGGGTGGTGTAACTGAACCGAAAATTAAAATCAGATCAGTTGACCGTAAAGTACCTTGTTGTTACATTCATTTAAAGATGAGAGGAAGGTGTATTTATAAATACAAAATTAAGGAGTTCGAGAGGGGTGAATCTAAGGACGTCGCAAGTCAAAATGGTAAGGATAATAACATTTGCAAGGATAATAACATTTGCAAAGATAATAACACCTGCCAGTAGTAAGGATAATAACATTTGTCAGTGGTAAGGTTGATAACATTTGCCAGTGGTACGATATAGAGCTCTTGATGTGGTTATTGAATAGTGACTCCCACATTTATTATTTAAGCATTGTAAATAATTAGTAATCGTGTGGCTATTGTGATAAAAATTGTGATTTTATGTAGTGAGATACTGTGGATAATTAATGGTGATCGCGAACTCTTTAATTAATATTATAAGTTTCACGGAATAGAAGGTTTGACTTTCACCTAAATAATGAACAAACTTCGCACTTATCAATGTGTATAAAATATTTCAATGATACAGTAAAATATTCAGTGAAGTAAACTAACGATGCTACGGGAACATAGATGGGTTGCTGGAATCACACATATTATAGATCTCATACTACACAATGTCATTAACTAAATCCAATTTCTCTTCACCATATAATGTTTTCACATTTCGTAACAATAACATTGCTTTTGTTGACTTTTATAGGGATAACCATACCTAATAGCGTAAAATCCTATTTTGGACCGTGCCATTTTATAATGGAAAGGCCGTGGTCCTACAAACACCCCATTAGCAATGTGTCATGGTCCGAAAATTGGTTCTATTTCTACACATGACGGATATTGCGCCATTATAATGGGACCCGTTCCATGTCCATATTTTTTATGAGTCCATTTACACCAGACTCGTATATTACAAGATAACAGAATGCCACCACAATTTCACAGTGGACCGTTTGCTTTATAATTATCGTCATTTTGATATTTATTTTTTTTTTGGCAAACATTTTATAGTTATACAGATTTAGAAGTTTTCGGGATTTTTGGTAACAATTTGAATTTGCAAAACATCTAGGCTAAGCGGTACACGTCATGACGTTAAAATCTGATAATATTGGTTGAGAATATCATGTTCTCAGATTATAACTTTTATTTTTCTATTTCTATTTTATTACTTTATAGTCATGATTTGGAACAACAGTTCAATTAATTTGAGAATAATAACCCCAATTGTTCAATGAATTCTATTGTTCGACAATAAAAAAATTATCTTTAGATACAAGATACTTAAGTTTGCGAAATAAACCGATTTCGCCCATGTTTTGGACTTTTCCTACTATTTAGACCCAGGGACCTGGAAAACACTGAAAACCCACTTAAAACGATTAGAGAAAAAAATAGATTTTTTTAGTTACAAGGGACCACTACACGAAATGTGCTTATACACAAAAAATATTTTATCTTGAAAAGTTACAAAGATACAAAGCAGAAACATTGCACACATATGAGCGCGGGCCATCTAGACATTTAGAAAAAAGCAAACTGAAAAATCTCCCATAGGGAAAAAGTTAGCTTAGGAAAATTTGCCGATATTCTGCACTTATAGGCCGCATAGACCAAAAAGGTACAATAGCTAACTTGGCCAAATATACCGATTTGGCCCATGTTTTGGACTTTTCCTACTGTTTGAACCCCAGGGGCCCGGGAAAATCACATAAAACCCAATAAAAAAAAAATTAGAGGATAAAATAGATGTTTTTTTAGTTACAAGGGACCACTGCACGAAATGTGCTTATTCACAAATAAATTTTTATCTTGCAAAGTTACAAAGCTACAAAGCTGAATTTTTACACACATATGCACGTGGACCATCTAGACATTGCGAAAAAAAAACCGAACAGAAAAATCTCCCATAGGGAAAAAGTTAGCTCGGGAAAACTTGCCGATATACTGCTCTCATAGCCTATATAGAAGGAAAACGTCCAATAGCTAACTTTGCCACATATTCCCATTTGGCCCATGTTTTGGACTTTTCCTATTGTTTGGACCCCAGGGGCCCGGAAAAACACTTAAGAACCAATTAAAAACAATTAGAGAAAAAAATAGAATTTTTTTAGTTACAAGGGACCACTGCACGAAATGTGCTTATACACAAATGAATTTTTGTCTTGCAATGTTACAAAGCTACAAAGCTGAAATTTTGCACACATAGGCACGTGGACCATCCAGACATTGCGAAAAAAAACCGAACTGAAAAATCTCCCATAGGGAAAAAGTTAGCTCGTGAAAAGTTGCCGATATTCTACTCTTATAGGCCATACAGAAGGAAAACGTCCAATAGCTAACTTTGCCAAATATTCCCATTTGGCCCATGTGTTGGACTTCTCCTACTCTTTGGACCCCAGGGGCCCGGAAAAACACTTAAAACCCAATTAAAAACAATTAGAGAAAAAAATAGAATTTTTTTAGTTACAAGCGACCACTGCACGAAATGTGCTTACACACAAATAAATTTTTATCTTGCAAAGTTACAAAGCTACAAAGCTAAAATTTTGCAGACATATGCACGTGAACCATCCAGACATTGCGAAAAAAACCGAACTGAAAAATCTCCCATAGGGAAAAGGTTAGCTCGGGAAAAGTTGCCGACATTCTGCTCTTATAGGCCATATAGAAGGAAAACGTCCAATAGCTAACTTTGACTTTAGACTTTTCCTACTGTTTGAACCCCAGGGGCCCGGAAAAACACTTAAAAACCAATTAAAAACAATTAGAGACTAGATCCACAGGCTTCACGAGGTTCTGATGCAGTGCGTAACAGTTTTGATTTTACGCTTAAAACTGTGCCGCAAAGTATCGTAACAGTAACACAATTTCCTATAATAATTAACTGGATATAGATCGCCCAAACGCAAAGCATATTCGACAGATCGCTTCAACTCACATTGCATTCAATAACAGTTTAAGGGAGCAAACTACCTTTATCGTTTAGACCACAAAAAAACTTACAAGAGGAAAGCTGAATTTTTCAAGATAAAATTCATCAATTTCAAATGGCGATAAAATCGGAAGTAAACACCGTACAATAAACGTTAATACACCATTGGAAAGATTTCGTCGAGAGCTATCAAAATTGTTCTGGTCACATGATCACCGAAGGTCAAGGTCACGATATACGACCCTTTAAAGTATTCATATTTTTCAACCGGAAATAAATAAAAAGCAAAATCAAAATTCAAAAATCGGTTCTCAAATATTAGTTAGCAATCGATAAAAGATACCATAGATATCAAATTTACACAAATTGGATTACACCCTGAGGCCCCATTTCGATTTATAGAAAATTACGCACAGTTACTATACAAGAAAGTACAAAATTTTCAAATATTAAAAAGCGCAATTTTTATTGAAATATCTAGTGTTATATATCAATACAAAGGGCAGATGAACACCAGTAAGATTCAATAAGAATTTTTGGTGTATGTAAATCAGGTCACGTGTAATTTTCAATCGGCTATAAAACCGGAAGTTTACAGTGCAAAGCACAAATGAGTATATCACTGGATAGATATCATCAAGAGCAACAAATTGTGTTCAGGCCACAAGGTCACCAAAGGTCAAGGTCACGAAATAGGACCCTTTGAAATTTTGGACATTAACGAAAAATTTTAACCGGAAATAAAAGAAAAGTAAAATCGAAATTAAAAAATCGGCTTCCAAATTTCTTTTCGCAATCGATTGTGATATCAAGAAAAATCAAAATTATGTAAAGCGCTTTATACCCTGAGGCCCCATTTTGAATTTTACAAAAGTTTGACATATCAATATGGCGGCTACACTGTTACATCCGGGTCGGATTTTATGATTGGAAGTTTTTTGTATGAGCATTTGTAACATATTGCAAGAAGAATTTTTGAAATATCTTCAAAATTCAGGAAGTTGAATTATATATTTTACAAGCAAATAGCGTCAAAACCGAAAGTGATATGGAAATTTCGAAAATTAGTAATTGTTTGCAATAAAAGTGTTTATCTCTATGTAAATTTTCAGATTGATCGAAATAGAATTGTAGAAGTTAGAAAAAAGGTTAAAAAACTCCAA